ATGTACGTCAGCATCAGACTGAATCCATTAGAGACAAGGCACCCTGTATGCACACAACATGCACTTGGGGTGGCAAAAATCATACAAAAAACAGCACACATAGTGAGGGAGCATCCATTGAGAGTTTCATTCATCCGTGTTTTTTCATATTTAACCCGTCAGCACAAACTTTGGGCCCCGACTTTAGTAAATCAGAGGCGGCTGTGCTGGTTTGAGACGGATAAAAACTGGAAACACTGGTTCAAAGAAGCTGTAAAGAAACTAAAACTCTCAAAAACCAAAATGACTCCAGTGCACGAGAGGACGCACACCCCAGACCCTCAGCATGTCCAACGATCAGGGACCTCTCAGGTGAAGATTTCCTGCTTTTCTTGCTGATTTTTAGGACTTTGATTGATAAATGAAACAATTTCAGGAGATTTAAAAGGAAATGTTTCCAGCTGTGTTAGTGTGTGTGATGTGCAGTAAAAGCATTCATGAAGATGAAAACAGCTGAGCGAGTTTCCAGCTGCGGTTAATGTTTACCTGCTGATATCAGCTGATATCTGTGACCTGTGTGTTCTCTGGCAGCGCGACACGCCTCGCACATGTGACTGCGCACACGTGACCGTGCACACGTGACCGCGCACACGTCTGCAGCAAAGAAAACATCCTGAGCTCAGATCCTGCAGATTACACACTCGATTTAAAACGTGCAAACATGCAGCTGCGACATGAACATGATAACAGGTTGATTTCATAAAAAGTCAGTTATTCATGAAATATTTCAAACTGTGAGACAAACAGTCAAACGCGAGGAGACAAAGTTTCCCCGATTCAGCAGAATAACGAGATTTCAGCTCGACGTCTGACAAATCCTGTTTCACTGAGTCTGCAGCACGAAGACGTGATCGTCCACAGTTTGCTGCTGAAAACACAAAATCATCATCAGAGAGATTCATGAGTCAGAAAAGATTCAAATACATTTAAAACATCAAACGTCAAACATAAAAGTTACAAACGACGAACAAACACGCGAGTGATGAGGTTAGATCTAAAAAGTCAATTCAAAGTTTAAAAGTGTGTGTGTGTGTATCTCTGTCTGTGTGTGTATCTCTGTGTGTGTGTATCTCTGTGTGTGTGTGTGTGTGTATCTCTGTGTCTGTGTGTGTATCTCTGTGTGTGTGTATCTCTGTCTGTGTGTGTGTGTCTCTTTGACAGCTGAACTGTTTTACAGCTCAAATGTAAAACTGTCCTGAATCTGAACCACGAGCAGAGAACAAAGCGCTCAGTCCAAAGTTTGTTCCACACAGATTAGATAACTCAGATTAAATGTGGACACAAGGACACCGAAACAAAGCTAATATAACTAACTAACTAACTAACTAACTAATATAACTAACTAAATAACTAACTAACTAATATAACTAACTAACTAATATAACTAACTAATATAACTAACTAACTAATATAACTAACTAATATAACTAACTAATATAACTAACTAACTAATATAAGTAACTGCAGCGGTCCTTTCATGCTGCTTTGGATCTTCAGTTTTAGCTGCACGTTTTTCCAATAAAGTAAGTGTTTAAACTTATATGAAAAACTAAAGTGAAAACAGTTACGATCGTGTGTGAAAGCACCTCTGAGTGATGAGAGGAAACAAACCAAAGAGCCAGGCTCCAAGAGTCACAGTGAAGCTTCTGGAGATGAGTCTGGGTCACATTAATGGAAACATTTCTGCAGGGCGACTGTGACCTGCTGCCACCGCCTGCAGCGCAGGTGGAGCAGCTGCTGATAAACACCATGAACCAGGTCAGGGTCATGTGACCACAGCAGCTGCTGATAACCAAAGAAAACAGACCCGGGATCATCCGGGGGAACCGAGGTCGGTCTCACAGTGAGTCACAGGACCGGAGACCACGTACACAGGTGTCAGGTACTCACTGCACACCTGAGTGTCAGCATGTGATGAAGATGACACAAGCTCCATGGTCAGAAACAGGACAGGTGAAGGAAAGTTAGGAAACCTTGGTGGGCATATAAAAAGTACCAAAACAAGAGTATCCAGTCAAATAAGTGAGAAT